GTTATTATCTGGTAGAAAATAATGACAATATATATATATATATATATATATATATTTAGTCCATGTAACAATAACAAATTAGTTTATTTCTTCCTTAAGGTTTGCCACAGCTACTTTTGCTTATATTTCTAGGCCTGTGTGCATGAACAATGTTTCAACAGAATTTTCAAGACTATAGTAAGTACTAACTCACAAATAAACTTATTTACAGGATAAATGTCCTTACTAGATAAGAAAAATCTCACTTTTAATATTCAACTGTGAGCAACTTTTCTGACAGTGAACTCATAAAGTCAATGAATTCTCACTAACTTTTCATTCATTACTCATCGGGTACTCAAGATTATAAAAAACATTTTACCATTGTCTTTAGATACTGTCTCAAATTACTAGATTCTTGACATCATTCCAATTATAAGCTCTCTCTAGCAAAAAACTAAATTATAACATCCATTCAGTGTCTGTGTGTGTGTCATGTAACTCTTCCTAAATGGCTGGACTCACCAACTTTTAAGTGGTGCCAAATGAATTGTCTTGGCCCCAAGGTATTCACAAATTACAACTTTTTACCCAACCCCTTAGGGAACCCAGTATTTTGCAAAATCTTTTACAGGAATTCTCCAAAAGCAGACCCCAAATTTTGCAATTATTTGCATTAGAGCACATAATTTAAGTAGGCCTACTAATTACTGTTTGTAACTTGGTTAAAGAAATTAAACTTGCATTATAGTGGCCCTGTAAATGTGAGCCATAGGCCTACAGGTTTGCTATTTAAAAATATAACTTACAACATTGGCAGATTTAAGGAGTAGGGTTAACTGGGAGCAGTTGCCCCCTTTGCTGATCTTATACGGGTCTGTGCTTCATTTCTTGGATTATACTTCCTATGTGCTGTTTTTTATGATGAAAAAAATGCTTTATTAATTTTTTATCAAAATGCACTGTATAGGTTTCAATAAATTGAGTTGCATTTATTCAGGATTTTTATGGCAAAATATTGGACATCCAGGCAGCCTAGCAATCCATATTGAATGAATTACTCAAGTGATATCATATTATAAAGCTTCTGAAAGAGAATATTTGTGTTGCCATGTTCCTCTGGTGCCCTCTATGTGCATCTATTGCAAGGTTTTGAACTGTATCTTGGGATGGTGTGGTATGGTACAATGATGAAATGGTCATTATGGAATAGGAACTGGAAAATTAAACTGTGTTCAAGCAGACAAGCACACAGATTCCAAAGTGAATAAAAAATTACAGTTTAACCTTTCATGTAAGTAAGTAAGTTAGTTTGCACGTGAAATAAGCTGATTAAGCTGCTCTACTGCTAAATAATACTACGATAGAGTTTGGAGCTAATATGCAATTTATATGTTTTTGTACACAGTGATGGTGGTTCCCTCAATACAAACTGCCCCCCTCCCATTCATATTTGTTCTGGGTCCACCAATGACTTACAACACTATTAAACTTGATTCAAAACATTAAACCAATTGAGAGGTACTTCAGTGTGATAAAAACTTTTCATACAAACAAATCTCTCTTTGATTTTTCTTGAAATGGTTTACATCGGGGTTCTCAAACTTTCACAACTCATGATCCATCCACCTGAGTATCCAGGCAAATTTCTTGAACCTGGGGAGGGGGTTACTGTTTTAATATACTTGAGTAAAGTGTAGTAGTACTCTTTACAAGTTACATATAATTTTAAAGTATACTTTTGTTTTATTGTGTGTTGTCTTGTGACCCACCAAAATACTTTGTGATGTTTTATTTCATAGTAATTTTTTAAATTTTTACATTTATAAAGAGTATATTTTTAAATATTTATATGGTTTGTTCTACTGGGTAAACTTTTTGCCAGTGATCCTATTGCACTGATTAAAGCTGAAATTCTTTGAAACTCATATTTAGCTGTTTATGACATGGGTTTGTTGCTAAGAAAGGCCAAAATTTGGTATTTGTTTTCTTAAATTTTAAAGTATAGAAGAACTAATGATGAATGATTAAAGTATTTAAAGATTTCAGAGATTAAATGTTTTTGTTAAGAGTGATTTGTTTGAGTAGTGAAATTAAAAGGTTGAAAATACAGACTTCAGGATTAAGGGGTAAATTTTTGGAAGCTTAGATACAAAACTATTACTGTTATTTTTCTAACAATGTGGTTGGCTTTTGGAATAGATTACCTTCAGATTTATTAGATGCATTAAATCTAAGAGAGTTTAAGGTAAGGCTTGATTAATTTTCAAATGATATGAGCTGACTTAGGTGTTTTTTAAAGAGTATTTTAGTTAATGGAATGGACTAGATGAACTACTGCAGTGGTTCCCAACCTTTTCACCACCAAGGATCCCTTTTATTGTTATTTTTAACCCACAGACTCGATGTTTTTGAAATATTACATTTTGTTAACTAATAATTAACTCGTTTTATCATTTTTCACTATCAAATAAGACGTATATTACTGAATGTGCAATTAAAAAAGCAGCAGTATTAAAAAACGTGTTTAATTAGATGGTATTACCTTCATCGACCTCAGGTTGGGAACCACTGGATTAGTGGATCCTTTGTTGTCCTTAAATTTTGTCATTATAATATAGTGTATGCTGTTATTACAAATCATTTTAATTACTTGATAAATATAATTTGGATGTAAAGGGCTGCATGTAATTTTAGATTTGATGAATAATTTTTTAGTGAGTAAAAGGATGACCATGATGGGCAAAATGATATTTCGTTATCTTATTTTTTCATACACTCTTAATTTAATGTTCACATTATGATCAATATAATGAGAAGTTTATAAAAAGTAAGTGCTAAGGCTATAAAAAATTAAGCTATGAAGCATCAATACTTTTTTAAAAGGCAAATGTTTAAGAAATGCATCAGACAATGTGTATGTGACATTCATATTGTTTTAAGTTATTTTTATACTCTTCTTGTGTAAGAGTATTTAATTCTTTTTAACAGGAATGTCAGAAGCTTCTTGGAGTAACAGACAATTGTACTGAAGAAGAATTAAAAAATGCTTTTCTAAGCCTTGCCAAGCAGTACCATCCAGACTCCAGAAACCAAACAGCGGATTCACAAAAGTTTGCTCATGTTCAATCAGCATACAGGAAACTGCAAGAATACATGGGCAACTTATCTGAAGATAACACAAGTGAAGTCCTTGAAAAGAATTTTGGAATAAAAGTAGGTAATTTAATAATTATATAAGTGAAGTACATGATTTAAAATAGTGACCTTTGTCAATCATGAAACTGAAATCTAAAGGGAAGTGTTGCATTATTAATATTTTTTTCTTATCTTATGATGTTATTTGTTATCTGAGTAAATGAAAGGGTGTAGATTTTGGTTTGCTTAGATTTTCAAAAAGCTATTGGAGTGATGCCACAGAAAAGATAAGCAAAGAAAATCATTCCATTAGGAGTTGAGGAAAGGCCAATGACCCTTTTAAGATGGGTCATGGGTGAAAGGCCATGTCATCTCGTTTGTTGGCTCACATTCAAAATTTTATTATACTATTTCATGAATTTATATCAATAACTTTGATATCAAACTGTAGATTATAATTCAAATTTTAGTACTGTACATTACTTAATTTCTTAATTTAAAAGTAAATATTAAAAAAACAAATAGACGTTGATTTTTGTGTATCACGTGGTACATTGAATGCAGCACTGGTTCAAATTAGATGTTTGTGAAGATAAAATACTAGGTCTATACTTTCGTACGAATTAGAAACTCAAATTACCGATATTAACAAGCTAGAATATATAACGGTCTTATTTTTTCTATTTGCTAAGATATTGCTCATGTAATAAATCAAACACAGTGGCACCTTGCTCATCTCTTTCCATTTTTTGGAAATGCTCCCTTATTTACACTTGTATATATGACATGAAAAACCAATCGGAAGCTCAGAATCTCCCCCTAGTGGCTTTCTCAGCCATTTTAATGGGCTTGGTGCCATTTCTTTCTCTTGAACCAACATTTCAACAAGGTAGATTGCATCTTTAGTCTGTTTGAAATTTCATATTTTTTAGACAAAAATACATCTTAGTTACTAAGCTTAATAAATTATAGTGTAACTCTTTGGTATTGATGTAGTAATTTATGATTTTTTAGTTATTCAAATGTATATATAAAACCTAAAAAAAAATTTTGTTTCATATCCTCCACATGCAAAATTTTTAAAGGCTTAGCAACAGTTGTAAAATTTGAAACTTTTCTAATGCATAAAAGTATTTTTAATCTTGAAATAAATATTAATTTGCATGATAGATAAGCAACATGTGAAAAGATAAAATTTGATATTTTGTGAATGAAAGCACGTGTTTGCCATGTGTGGTGCCAAATTTCATTAAGATTCGCTTACTAATTTAAAAGTTATAGCATGAAAACCATAGCAAGCACAAAATGGTTATGAGGTCAGTCTCTGTTGGCCTGTTTGCTCATTCAGCTACACTTTTGGCTGTTGTCCTTAAGTTTTATCTTATATAAGTTTAAGATTTGTGAAAGACGAATTAGACTTCAGTTAAGACAGTTCTATTTTTCTAACAGGGTGATTGGCATATGTAATTAGTTGCTGTTTGCACTAACAGAGGCTGGAATGATACAAGAGTGTATTTAAATTTTTACTTTTCTCAAGGGTGGATGTGCAAGGACAGCCTTGAAGAATCAACTGGTCGCTTATTAGTATGTTTGTTTGGTTGTCAGGGAAAAAAGACATTGTCTCATATAAATCCTAGTTAGCCATCTAAGTTTATCTTTGGAATATTTTTTAGAAGTTATTACACAATGTATGATTTGCTATTTGAAAGTAGTATTGTTTAAACTTTATTGCTATACAATTACAAGTTTAAAATTTTACATTTAGCTAATGTTGTGAATTCAAGATTTCAGCAAAAAACATACATTTTGGTCCAAATATCCCAAAATGCAAACTTCTAGACAACTGTTTCTTCCCCTCGAGATGGATTCCTGTATGTGGTGAGGGTACCTCCCAGGGAAGATTCTGTTTTTTTAGTTTACCTCCTCTGGGATCTGAACATCCACTCACGTGTTTGCTATGTGTGGTGACCATTGAAGGGGAAGAGAGGATCTTGGTGGTTGAGTGGTGTCTTGGGCACTGCAACACACCACTTTTGTCTTGAGTTCCTGTAGATGGGTGGCCTTGGGGTGTCCCTCCCAGGGCCAGTTGGCTGGTCCTGCTTGGCTAGGATCAACTGAGAGCCAGTGTTTGGCTTTCTCAACAGGTGCTGTGGGTATTGTGTCTGATGCCAGAGTTTGAGTACAGTGTTTACGAAGCCATGGCATTGCTGCAGTGTCCTTGTTTGGCATTGTAGTGTGTCCCCTCATAGAACTCCATGGTGAGTGGGGTCAGTAGGCACTGAATCATTCTCTATTTCTTTTGGATCCCCCAGTCTTAGAAAAAAATAAAATTGTAAAAAAACAGCTAATAAGTAAATGACCATGCATAGATGACTCTGTTACACAGTCACCACCAAAGTAAGCTCTTGTACCTCAATTTTTTAATTCTTCATGCTTTGTCTGACAAATCCTTAGGGCAAATGTCTCCCTTTTTCATTCAGAAGGGATTAGAGGGGCTTGCTGGCTCTCCCAAGTCAGTCAGGAAGTTACGATCTGGAGACATCTTGGTGGAAACATCTACACCTACACATAGCGAACTCCTCCTGAGGTCAAAGGCCTTTGGGGACATCCCTTTGAGGTTACTCTCCTTGCTACTCTGAACTCCTCGCGAGGAGTTATCATAGAGAGGGATTTAAAGAATATATAAGAATTGGAGATCCTTACTGGTTCCTCCAGCTAAGGAGTTTCTGCTATGCGACTCATCTGCACTTGCAAGGATGGAATTCTGCTGCTGATCTTACTAACCTGCTCAGATGTTTCCAGTGTCAGCAATTCAGACATTCAAAGGCATCTTGACATGGTTCTAGGAGCATCAACTTGACCCTCACTGCATCAATTATGGTGGTTCCCACCCCTCTTACTATCAATCTTGCCCTAAGTGGGTAGAGGAGAAAGAGATATAGCATTTAAAACCTGTTAACAATGTTTCTTACCCTGAGGCTCTGAAGTTATTGTCCCTACTCCATCTTGGACATATGCCACTGCACTACACTCCGCTACTACAATGGGAGTTCAGACCTTTCTGTGCCTCCAACAGAGTCATTCTCACACCATGTGAAGAGTCTTTTGCCCTCTGTGGATAAAAGAGTTGACAAGTCAATGTCTACTCCTGTCTCTATCCCCACAGTTGCTTCCAGTGACTGCCCGGGTCCATCTCCTTGGGCCTCGGCTTCCAGTGTCACCTCAGCCCCAAGATGCAGAATGATTATTCATTCACACCCTCAGTTACTGAAATCTACTGACAAAGATTTGCCCAGGGCAGGATCCATGGAGGTCGACAAACCTCTTTTTGGTAAAGAAAAATGGCATGGTTGTAAACAGAAGGGGCCCAGTTCTCCTCCACCTAAATAAAAATTGTCACTATGATACGGTGGAATTGTCGAAGTTCCCGTTCTAATCTGGATGACATTAAGGTCTTGATCAATTTCTATCCTCCAATGTGTATCTCCTTACAGGGAATATTTCTGAAACCTTCCAATACTGTAACCTTTTGGCAGTTTTTTCTATACTGAATGACAAGTTGTGTAATGGAAAAGTGCACGGAGGGGTGCCACTGCTGGTCAACCAGCATGTGGCCACCTTGTCTGTGCCACTAGATACACCTTTAGAGGCTGTAGCCATCCATGTTTCCTTAGATCGTACCATCAATGTTTGTTACATCATCCTGTCTCCTGAAGAAACCTTGATGCTCTCATAGAACAGTTGCCATCTCCCTTTTTCATCTTGGGAGATTTTAATGGACACAATCCTCTTTGCTGTGGTTCTGATATTGATGGGAAGGGTCATTCTGCTCTCATAGAACAGTTGCCGTCTTCCTTTTTTCATCTTGGGAGATTTAGTGGACACAATCTCCTTTGGGGTGGTTCTGATATTGATGGGAGGGGTCATTTTGTGGTGTATATGTTCTTGGATCACAATCTGTTTCTCTTCAATACTGGTGCCATTACCTATTTTCATGCACCTAGTCAGGCTTTTACTGCTATTGATCTATCCATCTGTTCCCCTCGTTTTTTTTCCTCATTTTTCTTGGAGGATTGACTGACCCACAGGGCAGTGATTATTTTGAGGGAGATTGGCTGTGGTCAATGACACCTGACCTGAGTGCTGTCGTTTGTCTTTCATCTATTAACAACTGCATGAAGGCAGTAACTGATTACATCATTCAAGCAGCTATTCATTCTGTACCCAAAACCTTGACACGTTTCCCACGGTATCCTCATCCATGGTGGTCCCCAGCCTTCAACAGGCATGGGAGGCTCAGAAACAGGCCTGGGATACCTTTTGCATGTATCTCACTCTTTCAAACCACACTGCTTTTCAGGGGGCCCCTGCCCATGCTTAGCAGGTCAGATGTCAAAGCCAAAAGGAATCTTGGATTAAGTTCACAACTAGCATCTATTCTACCACCAGTTCCAAATTCCTATTGGACAAGATTTGGAAGGTCAAACGGAAGTATCCCTTCCATCTTGTTCTCCAATGGCCAAGAAGTTGCTGATGTATAGAGCATTGCCAATACTCCCAGAGAGAGCTTTTCTCATTTTTCTAGCACTTTTGTTACTTCCCCCACCTTCTTGGCCATCAAGTCTCAATCAGAGAGATTTTCTCTTTCCTTTTGGACTAATTGTCTCTATGACAATTACCCCCCTCCCTTACACTGGTGGAACTCAAGCTTGCTCTTCATCAGTCTGGCAGTACATCAGTTGGAACTGATAATGTTAACTATGACATGCTGCACCATTTCTCTCCTGCCTCTCTTGTTCTTCTTCTGATTGTCATTAACTGGATCTGGGAAGAGAATGTTTTTCCTGATGCTTAGTGCAAAGCTATTGTCCTACCTTTTTGTAAGCCTGGGAAGGATCCCAAGATTCCTTCTAATTATTGTCCAATTGCTTGGGCTAACTGTCTCTGTAAAGTCTTAGAGAGGATGGTTAATGCTCATCTTCTTTGATTTAAGGAATTAAAGAACCTCCTCTTGCCCACCCAGTGTGGGTTATGTTGACAGGGCTCCACTTGAAACCTCAATCAGGGAAGCCTTACTCAAGAGAGAACATCTTGTCTCTGTTTTCTTCGATCTTGAGAAGGCTTATGACACTACACGGAGGTACAGCATTTTGCAGGATCTCCATTCGTATGGGTTGTGGGGCTATCTACCCATTTTTATTCATATCTTTTTACTAGAAAGGCAATTCCAAGTTTGTGTGGGTTTGACCTTTTCCCATTCTTTCACACAGGAACTTGGAGTCCCTCAGGGCTGTGTCTTGAGTGACACACTTTATAATGTAAATATCAATGCTGTTACTCAACAACTTCCTCCTACTGTTGCAAACAGCCTCTCTATCAATGATTTCCACATCTTGTGTCACTTATAGGACATAGGTTTATTGAGATGTAGCTTCAGACTACCTTCAATTGCTGGTTGATGTGGAGCACAGCAAATAGTTTTACCTTTTTCTTTCTTGCATTTTTGCCACCAACGGGATTTACACCCTGATTTTGATCTCCATCTCAGTGATGTTGTTTTTCCCATGGTCCTTGAGGCAAAGTTCTTGGGGCTTATCTTTGAATGTAAGCTTACTTTCATTTCTTACATCAAGCAGCTACGTGTCAAGTGTACAAGGCACTGAACATCCTCCATGTCCCCTCTTCCACCTCTTTGGGAGTAGGTTCTGCACAGGTGCTTTCCACACTTCTCTTGTCCACTGTTTGCAACTTTCTTTGCAGTATGCTACTACACTTTGATCCTCACCACAGCATTCCACCTGGGGTTGTGTCTGAGGACAGTGGGCTATGCTCTTTTGGAATAGACAGTCTGCAATTCCTCCTTTGGCCTTCATATCCAGGAACACCACCTGGTTGAATTGGTTCTGTTATTGGATGATGTTGCTATCTCCAATGATCAACCCATCCTGCCATGGCTTATTACCATCCCCTCCTGTGACCTTTCCTTGTTTCATCTGAGGAAAGCAGATATTCCCATTTGGAAGTACTATCTTCTCTATGTAGAACATCTTTTGAACCATTCTTCTCTTTCCAATTTTATGGATAGTTCGAAATCAGACGACTCTGTGAGCTTTGCCATGGTTTGTTGTGGCTCATTATTTGCTCACAGGATCCCCTCTACAGTTTCTGTGTTCACTGCTGAGTTGTATGCCATTTCTATTGCCCAGGATCATGTAGAAGCTATGCAGTACACTGACAGTAACATTTACAATGACTCTCATAGCTCTCTACTGGCCCTGGAATTGCTTAATGTTAGTTCTCACCCTGTTCTTGTAAATATTCAACAATGACTGGCCCATTTTTCTCTATGTTCCATTACTATCCAATTTTTCTGGATACCTGGCCATGTTGGTATTCACTGGAATGAGCACGTTGACACCACAGCTAAGTTCGTCTGCTCTTGTTCTGTGACAGCCATGACTATTCCATATATGAGCTACAGTCCTGTTTTCAAGGCTCAGCTTCACATCAGTTGGCAGTCAACTTGGAGTGAGCTGCTTAATAACAAACTTTTCCAGAACAAACCTTCTTTTGCTCTTTGTCTGTCTTGTTTCCATAAGGATCAGAAGGAAGAAGTTGTCCTGGTTAGGCTATGCATTGGTCACAGTTTTTTAAATCATTGTTTTCTTTTCAAAAGGGCTATTCCACCAATGTGTGGCTTTTGTGACATTCAAGTCACAATAGCACACATTTTACTATTTCAGACATGTATTTTCTATGGGTTTACCCCTGATGTTGGACAGTGTCATTGGAAATGGTGACACTGTCCAACTTGATTGTGTTTTTAAATATTTAGGAGCTATTGGTTTTTCAATTCTCTTTGAGTCTCTTATATGAATTTTGGGCGTTGCTTAGTTTTTTACCAGTTGTTTGGGGCAGATAGCCTCATTGATTTGCACCATAAAATGCCAACCAACCGTTTCTTTATCATTTTTCAAGTTAGATATTGTACAGCAAGATCTTGATTTAAAACAGAAATTTCTCATATATGCCTTTCTTTCTGTATGGTAATCAATAACAAAATATGTCACTAGTAAACTCCACATATTTTAAATTATTAACAGTGTAAGAAAAATATAATTAAGACATTTTATTGATGTATATCATTTCTGTGTGTTGTATAAAAATGAATTACATTAACAGACAATGTTATGTCTGTTATCAATATTATCTCTGTATGGAAACACATAGTTCTTGTTTTTGAGCTATAGCTAAGATGTTGGATAAAAAAATATTATTTTTTCCAGCACACTGTCCCACAGCACAGACAGTACCTAAATTATGAAGGAGTAGGATATGGTACTTTAAGTCAAAGGGAGCAGCAATACCAAAAGTACAAGATGACTCGAGCTGTTGACCAAGTACATGAGTATCGATATCAGAAGTTGGCAAGCAAATATGAAAACTCATTAATGTTAAAAGATGCAGCTTTAACAAGACAATTCAAAACAAGGTAATATCTAATGTACAGAAATTATTTTTTAGTATTGTTAGCTTTCAGTAGTGAAGTTTAGATTTTAATACTTTATTGCCAGTCATATGTTATTTATTTCTGTTGATAAAAACTTGGTCAATTCAACTCACCTTGGAATTACATTGTAACCATGAAACTATACATTCTGTAACTCTTAATGTACTAAGTATATCTTCATGAAATTTGGCAAACTTAGAAGTCCATTGTACAAAAAAAATCAATTTTTTAAATAAATTATTTTTCCAGAGATTTGATCATGAACTTACAAAACCTTTCATGAGTCAGTCTCAGTGAAGTTTATTTTATGCTGAGAAAAGTAATACTTATTTTCAGCTTATAGTTTTCATATTTCATTTGCATCACCTTTAGAACCTGCTAAATGGATATGAAAAGTTTTGTTTCAATAAGACTTTCTTTCTATTTTGTCTTGTCCTAACACTAACTACAGCAAAATCATCAACGTAAGTGAATGAAAAATTGATAAATATGAAATAAAATATCTTGTTTTCTTCTTCGAATGCATAATTTGTCTCCAAATTTTCAAATTACTTTTTCATGTTTAAATTGTTATTTTCACAATTGTTTTATTTTAATTTTATAGTTTATTGTTGTACTTTAGATCCACTAGTACATGTGAAAAGTGGAAGTGGGGGCATTAGCTGTTTCCCCTGGAGTTTATGTGGTCTTTACACTTGTGACATAATTACTTTAAGCCTCAGTGGATCTTTCACATTTGAGTCTTCCAAAAATAATTCATGCAGCTTTCAAAAAAACATTATAGAACACAAAAAGTATGTTAATCACTAGAATAGAACATCCCCAAACTATTATAATTTATCTGGCTTTCTAAGTAAACTATAATAGGTTACAAAATTCCATTATTCATTCAAACTAGCAAAATCATTTTTACTGAATGAATACCTTCCCCCCACCACTGGCCCTGGAATTGCTTAATGTTAGTTCTCACCGTGTTCTTGTAAATATTCAACAATGACTTGTCTTTGGTCAATTTGACAAATTTATTGACATCTAAGCAAATATAGACGATAGTACGTTCCAATTCTCGATTCTTGATTGTTATTATGTATAGTTTAAAATTCTAATTGGTTGAAAACTGAAGCAGCTATTTTAAAAATTAAAAATCATGAACATAAGAAATAGATGACTATTTTGTATTTTATAGTATCAATTAGTTAAATGCATTAAGTTAAAACTTCGTATATTATAGTAATGTATATGTTTTTCAATAAATAATAATTCTGTGTCAGAAGTAGTTTTTGTGAATTAAGAAATTCCAATATGATTACTCCCATCCATACACAGACAAGTTATTTTTTTCTTGAAACACACTTTTTTGCCTGAGAGATTTGCATGTTACCAGCTTTTTGAAACTAATGCCTACAGTTCATGTTAAAATGTAAAATAGCACTACTGCCTGATAACATACCATGCAGCAAAACCCTCCACTATTAGGAATGTGACACATCCCTTTGCACAATTGCTCCCTCCATATTCACACCTGAAATCATCATCCTTTTCCTCAGCACAGTTGTGCAAAGATGTTTAATTTTGCTGAGACTTGTTGAAGTATTTTACTTCAACTACTTTGTGTTTTCAACCTTTCAATATATATATTTACAAATTAACATGAATTCTTTGTCTGCTGAAGACATGAGGATTTTTATTTGTGAATATGGAGAGAGCAAGGAGGTGTATTGCATTCCTATTGGTTGAGAGTTTTGCTGCATGATACATGTGAATTTTAGGTGGGAGTTTCACAAGGCTGATGGCATGCAAATCTCTCAGTCAAAAAAGTGTGATTTCAAGAGGAAAATAGCTAATCTGTGTATGAGGTATCTATTGGAAATACATTTTCAAGTAAGGCAAATGCTACCTTTCTTATCTTTAAGGTCCAAGTGTAACATTTGGTATTTTTCCATGAAGCTCATTCTATATCTTAATTCCATCAATAGTTAAAGATTGGTTCTCCCTTTATTGACATTTATTAACAGCCATTTGTCTTTTTTTTTTGCTGAGCACATACTTCAGTTGTCTCAAATGCTGTGAAGTTGATCTCCTTGATACTGAATGAATTACTGAAATTTAAAACATTGGGATTTTTGTGTGTGTGTGTCTGTATTCAGTAACAATATTATAATGTATGAGAATATTTTATAAAAAAATATTTATCCTGTTTCAACAGTCAAGCAATGGAAAGAGTAGTTGAAGATCTGATACAGAAATCAATGTCTAAAGGAGAATTTAACAATCTTCCTGGAAGTGGTAAACCTTTTAAATATGTTCCTGAAAATCCGTATGTAGATAGAATGACTCATAAACTAAATCAGGTTAGTATATTTTAGAAGTTCTTTGTGTTCTTGTAAGTCATCATAGTTTGTTTATTTTAATGGTTCGATGGGTTTTGAAAGCTAATTATTCATGTCTTATTGATGTGTATGTATATATATTGTACATAATTATTTTTCCTCAATTTCAAAACTTAAATTGCTATGAAATTTCAGCTTTGAATATTTTAACTGGTGAATAATTTGTTGAACTTATAATTAAACTTGCACAAAAATAAGGTGTTATGAAAGTAGTAATAAAATATTTGTTATGTTTTTTCCCTGAAGTTTTATGTTATAAATGAAATGTAAGAATGCATTTCATTTTTAAACAAATAGATAACCTAGTCCAGTAGGTCCCAACAATGACTCCAATGGGAGATTTTAGCTGGTTTGCAAGACAGCTGTAAAATGTGTATTTTAAAACAGGGCTACCAAAGTATATTGTTTTACAAAGTAAATTAAATTACTTCAAAAAGTTAATGTTGTATAAAGTGGTCCAGAAAATGTTGACATTGGAATTAACTGGTCCTCAGTGGAAAAGGGTTGGAAACCACTGGCTTATCCAATAAAATAATATAGTTAATTTATTAACTTTAGAATAAGGACAATAGGTGTATTATCATTAGATAGAATTTTTTTTACTTGGTACAGTCATTGTTCTGTAGTATATTACTTTTGTTTCAATAATTAGATTCAACACTTTTTCTTTTGTGCAGATCCTTATTAATAATGGATTTACTCCAGAATGGATTGTTTTGGAGAAAGAAGTCAGAGAAGATAGAGAAAAACTTTTCCAGCAGATGGCAGTACAGAGGGCAAGCCTTGGGCCTTTACCTCTGAGTGAAGAAGAAGAGAATCACTGGCAAATGATTTTGGATAATCTAAAGCAAAAAGAAAAAGATCTGAATGTCAAAATTGATAAATTTAATATAATAGTTCCAGCCCTCAAAAAACAACAGGTATATTCTTCTCTTGAAGGAGTTCTTTGAATTTTATATAGTGTTAAAACTGCATTATATATTAAATAGATGTATAATCAACAATACATGCAGTGTTTACACTTTTTTTCATATGATCATCCATTTAATTTTCTAAGTGTGTAACTATTACTTATTTATTAACTTTTCAAAATATGTTATATCCTTAGTGATCATGAATGGAAAACGGCATTATATTTGAAAAGGCAATTTAATTGTGTACTTTTTAAGTTCACCACATAAAAACTTGAATGTTTTGTGAAGTTTATTTTTTGTTCTTAAATAATTTCTTTATAACTGAAGTATGTCCCCATTTTTCTCAATAGATGTTATTAACAATGATATTTTTACTGTGTTACAGTTGAGAGTTAGGCTGTCTAAGATGGCACAAGAGGTTTTAGAGAATGGAAAAACTAAAGAAGATAAGCAAACAAAAACACAGATTTCAACAACAAAAACTGGTGGTGGCTTTCCTGACAATGGCGAAGGGCTCATTGGGTTCCTTTGCAATATATTTCAAACAAAATAACATACATGTTAACTCCTACTTTTAAAACTAGTTAACCATTAAAGATTTAAGTTTTTAAAAATAAAGCTTTTAATTTTGTTCATGAAAGAATTTTGTGTCTTTATATATATATATATATAAATTAACATGTAGCTTTACAAGAGTAATAAGTGCAGTTATTTTGGTAAAGCCGACTGATTTTCTTAGGAGTTTATATATATATATATATATATATATATAAA